ACCTCTGGAAGCATCACTTGCGCGACATTCTCCACATCGATCCCATCAATTGACGCTTGGATTCTATTTTCAAAAACATTGTAGAAAGTCTGAGACTTGTTGTACTTGTACACGCGCACTGATATTTCCATTGATGTTCTATGGTAGGCAAAATAATTCGGGGACTGTGTTTCATTAAGTGAAATGTGATCCCACAAATTCTTTTGATCAGTCAAATCCTGGATATAATCCTTAACATCTAGCACTTTATCTGACGGACAGTATCTCATATAGAATGAATCGAGATACTCAACCGTTTGTTCGTGATCTCGGTACTTTTCCCTAATTGACTCCATGATCTTATTGGTGACGATTATCTCCGGTTCAGCTTCACCATTAATGATGTCAAAATAGTACTTCAGAAATTCGTTATCATGTTTTAGGAGGTCTTGTAAAAGGCGAATGTTAATGGATCCTTCTACAAACGCGTATCTAACATGAGAGATGGCATCCTTTACATATGCATAATAGTAATGCTTTTTTAAAGATTCGACGAAACCAGTCGCGCGTAATATGTCATTCCAAAATTTTGCACCGGAGAGGATATCGAGCTGGAATTCCGTAGAAAAAACAGCGAAATCGGAAAAAACAAGTTCAGGACCTTCGGACCAAAGATGTAAGGAGTATGGTGATTGGAAAAATTTAATATCTTCCAGTGCTTCCGTCTTTTGGAAAAATGTCACAAATATTAATGCTGAATTAAATTTCCTGAGTGAGTTCGCACAGATAGATTATGATCAAAAGTTTTTGAGGATGCTTTCGCACCTTTCAAAAGTTGATCAATTAACACTACGACTGAAACAACTATCCACCGTGATCGAGATATTCAAAATTCCACGGAACGAAGGAGATTGGCTTGAGATGACTATTGGAGATCTTGATGCACAGGATATAATCTTGGAAAAATTAAGTTCGGTCTTTGATTTTCTTAGTGATCACCTAGCCGCAGTTAATGAAGACAGTTGGAGTTTGATTAAAGAACTTTCGATTGCCGTGGATTTCATTGCATTTTTACGCGAAATTGCTGATCATGACCTTAAAAATTTAATCAATGGGGTTGATGATGAAAGATTGATTCAAGAGGACACCGTTTCATCACTTATTCAAGTTAAACAGTTCATGGTTCCCTTGCTGAATGTTGCAACCACTTTTGATTTAGACGCATTTTTGAAGGAGTTGTGTAAGGTTGCAAGTCTTAGTCCTATGCTGGCAAATAAGATTGCTTTATGCAATAGCAATAACATGGCATTGCAAAATATGTATGCGAACATTAGCAACCGCGGTAAGTGACTCCAAGATTTATGTTTAGAGTGACGGCAATGTGTGTTGTATAAATTTATATTTTGTATAATTTATTTAGGTGAAGTTGCCAAGGAGAAAATACAAAACGCCGTAAACATCGGAACTTACAAGTTCGAGTGGTCTTCAAAAGATCTCAAATGTAAAGTGACATTGTCATACGCAATTAATAAAACAACCACTGTCTCGTACGACATTAACGATTTGCAAGACCTAAAAGGAAGGGCATTATTGATAACGAAGCCCAGCGATGCTATGAGTATCTCGTTGGGTGATACTAATATTGGTGGTGGATCAAAGAAATCAAAAGATTTGATGGAGGAATTCGTTCGCCAAGTTGATATTGTGCAAGGAATTATCAATGTGTCTGAGAGATTGATTGAAACAGGAAATTTTGGATATCGAAAGCATATGTCATCCATTAAAGGCACCGAGAAAATGGTTCAACTTCTCGAGAAGTTACAAGCTGATCTGAAGAAATGGTAAGTTGGCATCATCTCTCAATGAATCAGTAATTCCAAACTGACATTTTAAACTTGTATTTCAAGGGAAATTCTAGTGGATAAGGCGCAGCAAAATCATTTTTACTTGACATTCTTCCCTGCTCGTCACATGTTAGAGTTCTACGACCATTTCATCGGAAAGTCAAGTGTCAATACAAATACATGTCAAACGCTTATCAAATTTGTAAATCAAAATGCAAGACTGCCACGAAAACCTTCTTACAACAAGATGACTGATAGAAAAGATGCCACTATACAAATTCTCAATGAGATTGGTGAAAAATTACAAGCGATTTTTGCAAAAGTTCCAAAAAGGAGACGTCCTCTAAAAGCTCCTGTAGATCGTATAATTTCAGATGTGGTTGAACGCGGAAAACTATTCGTTGCTTCGTGCAATGACAAATCACGCTTACCGAATGTCATAATGTCATTGTATGCTAATCATGGGTCGTATCCCGAAGCTTGGCAACTATTGATTTGTACGGCTTCAACAACCTTAGAGGAACTTTCAATATTTATCAAGAGATGTTTCTTTGCATCGAAAAATGGATATGATAATTATTTATTTTGTTTAGCAAATTTAGAATTGCTAGATTATGAATTACAGTATAATTTGGTGAACAAAATTAGATCCATGCGAGAGAAAGAAAATGACTATTATCTAGCTTTGATATGTTGTCCCGAGGCTGGAATGCATCATCATGTCTTGGATCAATTTTCCGATTTTCGAACAACCAAGGGTCTAAGCACAGCGTCAATGAAAAAGATATATAAAGAATTATGTCCCCAGATTTTCTGTGTTTCATCGGAATTGTCTGGACAAGGAAAAACAGAATGGATCAAACAAGAAAGCTTTAGGAATAAAACATTTCCAAAGTGTTTTCTCATAAGCGACGATGCTGACTATGTCAAGTTAGTCAAGCAACTCAAAGAATTCGTCCTTCGTCCATTTGAATGCATGCACATCAACGTCATATCTTCTGATTACCCGGGAGAAGTTAATATGTGGTTGTTTCAGTTGTTAACTTTGCGAATAGTATCAAGCAACACCGATATTGCATGTTTACCGAACACGCACATTTACATAGAAATTGCGTCGAGTTTTGAACAGCATCTTCTTAGATCACTTCCGATAATTGAGTGTCTTCAAAAAACACACCTAGCATGGGACATCACAGATTTGGTGGTCACTCAGGAAAGTAACAGTCCAGTGCAAATCGTATGTCGATATTTGAGTGCTCTTGATTCAGAAAATATAGACAAAAGAGACATATATATTAAGGGACCCATTCCAGCATTATCACCCAAAGAATGCCAGAAGTTATTGTCAAAGTATTTTTTTGACGATGATAATCTTGAAGATGTTTCCTCATTCAGGTTTTTAGAAATATTTGTCAACGTTTTCGCATATCAGTTGGTGCGATTATCTTTTAGTTCGTATTTTCGAGTTAAGAATTTGAAACTGATGCTTGAAGGAGAAACGAATATTCGAGAAACTTTGGTGAAAACGTTACTACAAGTTTCCAAAGACTTTGCGACTCGATCGGTGCGAACAAAATCTGCGCAATTAGAAGCAACTTCAATTGATGCAATCGAGAATGCCGCGCTGGGTACAATTGTGAATTGGGATGACTCGAACCATTTACTAGTGTTCTTCTTATCCCAGACACCAGATTCTATTTGTGCGTTATATCGAGATCAGGCAAAGGTACCTGAGGTCGTGAGAAGTTTGATGAAAAGTCAACATATAGATGAAACGAATAAGAAATGGAAATTAGAAGATTATCAAAAGTTGAGCATGGAAATTCTGCTGCAAAAATTAGAGGGTATTGCTCGAAAAACATTTCACCAAATCGATTACCCCCCATATGCGTTATCCGTGGATAATTTGTTGAAGATGGTTTTGATTTTGCTGAGAGTGCGGGCGAACATACCCGTTGTTATTTGTGGTGAAGCCGGATGCGGAAAGGTAATGATGATCATACACCATAGTACTGTTTTTATTTAAGAAAGTGTTACCAACAAATTCTATTTCAGACAAGTCTGATCGGGTTCCTAGCCCACGTGGTCGAGGTTCGGTTTTTTGCCCTCAATCTTCATGCGGGTATCAAAGAGAATGACATTTCGCAATTCATGACCGAAGTCCAGCAGAACGCTAGGAAGGGGGAAACTTGGATATTCTTTGACGAAATAAATACATGTAATAGCATTGGTCTCCTAGCGGACCTAATAGCTCATCGAATATATAATGAGAAACCGATTCATCATAATATCCGTATATTTGCCGCATGCAACCCTTACCGTTTGCGAACGAGGAGTGTCAGTGTGGCTGGCCTAGAAACCAGAAAATTTGAAGAACAAAGTAACCTTGTGTACGAAGTAAGACCACTCCCCGATCAAATCCTTGATTATGTTTGGGATTACGGTGTGCTGAAACAGGAGGACGAAAAGCGATATATTCAGATAATGGTAAAAACGCAATTGAAGGAGTTGGATGATCCAGTTCTCTCAAAACTATTATTTGCTTCGCAACAATTTATTCGAGAAGCCGAGGAACCATACAGTGTTAGTTTGCGTGATGTCAAACGTGCCATTAAACTTTTCCAGTTCTTTTACGAGAGTTTGCAAGATCGTCCACCAATTCGCAAGGGTTTGCCAAAGTACCCTTCTACAGCTGAAGATTCACCTAGCATACAAGTTCGTTCATTTATATTGGCATTAGGTCTTTGTTATCAGTCAAGATTGTACGAGAAGTCATTGCGTTTGAAATATCGAGAAAAAATGTGTGAGATTTTAAAGAACGACAATTTTGATTTTAACGAGAAAGATTTTAGCAACATTATCAAGGAAGAGCAAGAAGATTATATTAATAGAATGGTGTGTCCTCCAAATACCGCACAAAATGAAGCTCTCCTGGAAAATGTACTAGTTATGATAGTTTGCATATTGACGCGAATTCCCGTGTTTATTATTGGAGCGCCCGGGTTAGTATTCATTTATTAGTTACTTGATGCAAGGTTTCCATTTTCTTGTTTTCATTAATTCCTTCTTGTTTTATTAGGTCTTCAAAATCATTAGCCATTAGGCTAATAAGTCAAAATTTAAGAGGTTCAGATTCGAATGACGAATATTTTAGAAAGTTACCTCAGGCATGTAATGTGCTCATACAGATCAAACGTGTCAATCCAGGGTCAGCATATTTATAAATTAACTTTTTGTTTATAATAGGTGTATCTCATTCCTCATCAAGGTTCATCATCATCAACCTCTGATGGTATTCTCAAAGTCTTCCAAAAGGCACAAAACTTTCAGGAAACTAGCTCTAAGGAGTTTCCAGTGATCAGTGTAGTATTGTTGGATGAAGGTGAAAATACAGATCTTATTATTGAAATTGTCAAGGTTCATGTTTCCATTGTCTAAAAATGTAAATTTTTGATGATAGTTGGATTGGCCGAGACATCACCGTTTAACCCGTTGAAGGTACTTCATTCCCTGCTTGAACCAAGCTATCCTTCCGATGGACCGAAAGTATCTGTTATAGGTATTAGCAATTGGCGGTTAGATAATAGCAAGAGTAGTAGGGCATTATTAGTTCAAAGGTTAGTTTTAATCTATCACATCCGCGTTTCTTTTTATCTTAATGAAAAATTTCCTCATATTGTACCGGGATATTAATGTAACTACTATTTTCCCGAATGTTTTTTCATCAAATAGACCAAAATTCGATACAGAGGATTTGGTGGACACTGCAGTTCGTTTAATTGGAAACAAAACTCATGATAAAATACAAAAGAACTCATTGCTTCCACTTGCGATTGCATACTCCGAGTATGAGCAGAAGGGTCAAAAGCACTCAAACTTTCATGGTCTCCGCGATTACTACGCTTTGGTGAAATCTCTTTCCATGAACGAATTAATACCTGAACACATTCATATGGCTTTAGCAAGAAACTTTGGTGGTACTGAGCAATTTGCCGAAATATGTCAAACATATTTCGGTAATGTCATAAACACTTTCAACAACAACCAAGCATGGGTCTATCGTCCGATATCGATCAATAAATTGGTTCACGCGAATTTGGACGATGAAGGAGCAAGGCATTTGATGGTCATTGGAAAAAGCGACTCGATAGTGAACTTGTTGACCTACGAATTAAGACAGAAAAATTTGAATCCAGTAATAATTTTGGGGTCCCAATTCCCGGACGACCAAGATGATTACTCCTACAATGTTTTGAGTCGAATTATGGTAATTTCCGAGTTATCCTTTTTACAATCTGAGAATAATGATAATAACGATAATTTTTTTAAAGATGTGTGTTGAAGCGGGAAGACCATTAATTCTGACTGATTTAGAAATTATTTACGGTAAGAAGAATTGTTTTATGATATTTTGTATTTTGTCATTTTTATTCTTATATTATTTCTTTTTGATGATTAGGTAGCTTGTATGATTTGTGGAATCAAAATTACATTGTTGTGGGGAATGCCGAGGATCCAAAGTATTACACTCGAGTTGCACTTGGAGCTTATGCAAACCCTATGTTGTAAGTCTATGCTAATTGTGTTTGATATTGCGTTGTACCTTTCTTCTTTCTTTCCTTTCTTTTTTTCTTTTCTTTCTTTTTTTCTTTTTTCCAATATGTAATTGATTCAACTTTTTCTTTGTTTAGGTATGTTAACAAGAACTTTAGATGCATTCTTGTGCTTGACGAAAAAAATTTGCCCAAGGCCGATCCGCCACTTTTGAATCGTTTTGAGAAGCAAAAGATGACCATTCATGACACCCTATCGGACAATGAAAAAGAGTTAGTTCAACAGTTATCCTCTTGGACCAAACTGATATCAACCGTTGAGACACTGAACCAAAATACCGTCTCTCATGACAAATTCACACAAAAAGACCTATTCATCGGATTCGAGCAAGGGGAAACATTAGAGAGTTTAGTTATTGACACCAGGAAGAAAAACCCGGACGCACGAGATTCGGAAATTCTAACAAAGTGCAAAGAATCTCTAATTAATATCGCATCATCTGACGGAATTGTGAGAGCAGAAAAATCAGAATTGAGTCTGGATGAAGTTAGACACTGGACAAACGTTTACTTCAAAGTGCAACATCATGATCATCTGGCAGATTATTTCGAGGACTTGTTAACGAATGAGAATTTAGAACTTTATCCGGATGGTCATCAAGTAATAATCAACACCTTTTCAAACATAAATACAGACGTCAAGTTGTGCCTGAAAGGTTTAATAGAATGCCAAGTGATAAAGCTTTCGACATTTAAGACTGAGGCACAGTTTCAAAATCAGGTCAAGAATTTTTGGTTTGAATCTCCGAATAGAATGTTGATTCTACAGTGTGATATAACAACTATGAATGCCGGGTGTATTAAATTAGCAAAGTTTATAATCGAACAAACACGAAATGAATATCTGATGAAGAATAAATCAGAGACTACGGGTGATTTTACCACAAAACATGCGTGTATAATTCTTCATGTTCATCGGGATCATAAAACAACGTTGAGTGCCTTTAATTTTATGTGCGGATGGAGACAGGTGACAATCGAGACTTTGATACCACAGGAGAAGCGTTTATCAGCCCTACTGGACGGTGATTTGAGTGATGTTATTAACACAACATATCCGTTCGAGGAGATTCTACAACATGAATTAATATGGTGTTTGCTATGCATGAAATATCCATCAAATGCTAGATCTATTAATCACATCAAGTAAGTTACCATTACAATAAACAGCCGTTATGTGGTTGGTTTTGTTTTTTGGCAAAGTCTAAATTCGTAAAACTTATGACCATTTTTCCCTTAAGAACTCTCAATGTGAAAATTCCTCAGAATAAAAGTTTCGTCGATTTCCTAAGGATGAAAACACGCGAATTGCTCCAGGGAAATTATTCGTCAAGAGGTTGGCAGTATTACGTGGCATCAAATAAAAAACTTTTATATCCGTATTCATCATTCTCAGCTGCCTTGCAAGCCTACATACGTTCCATCGTTCGTCAACCAATTGCTAAAATCCTCTGCGCCCTTGAAAGATTATCTGCAACGAAAACTTTCTTGTCTTTTGATCAAGCATCGCCACAACAGCAACTGCAACTAAGGGAATTCTGGAGGGAAATGTTTAACGACAAAACCATTACAAGGATTGATGAATTATCCGACGCAAAACCCGATGGTTATTCGATGCCCACTGCTGTTTACGATTTACGATTTCCATTTTCCTATTATTTCATGAATCAAATAGATGGTTTCAAAAAGGTTTACGAAGAAGAATTAGATTTACTCATGGAAGACCCTAATAATATTGATCCAGGCACCGGGAATCTTTATGAATCGACAATAGCCAATCACATTAAGAATTTGAGTAACAACATCGCTTCATCATTGAAGAATATCAAAGCATCTCCACTGGAATATTTTCCAGAGTTGTACTTTGAAGATTTTGTGTCCAGGATTTGTACGGATGACTCAAGTGTAAAATATGTCCCGCTCATGTCCTACATACTACGATGGAGACTCGGTTCAGAGAAAATATACAACCCGATCATTCTTCATACACACTGGTGGAAGCATTCCGCATCAATTATGACGGAATTTCGTTTGGCACAAATGTGTCCGCCGATTGTCAAGGAGACCTCGTTGAAAAATGGAAATCTTTTAAATATCTCCTTTGAAGATTATCTCGTCGAAGAGATCATCAAGATGATGAACAAAAAGTTGAGTGAAATTAGGTCTACGAACAAAGCCCATATTCCACAACTTAGAAATTGGCTACGCGAAGTTTCAGTGATCTCTGCCCTGTGTGATAGATTGACCGAGGTTTCTAACTTTTCGGCATTGCACTTGTTGCAAATGTGCAACGATTTTGTGTCGGCAGATGCAATAACATTATCAAGCATTGGGGAGATTATGAAGACTGCAAACATAGCAATTAAAAAACCGGACGCATTCTCGCCAAAGTTTATTAATTCTGTATTTGAAATGCTTGACAAACTTCAAAATGATGATGCGAATTTAATCCCCAAATTATCATTTATAAATAAATGTTTTAATATCGTTTCCCTGGATTCACCGGCGAGATTGGAGCTCTATAGAAATATTTTCTCGAAAGATCCTCTGCCCACGATAAGTACGTCTATCATTGGCATGATTTTTGGACAAGAGGAAACGATAAATCCCGGATCATTTGTAGCAATGATTAAAAATCCCAAAAAAGCTTTATCTCAATCTTCACGATTAAGGGTAATCACTGATAGCTTAAGCAATCAAAGTCTCGATTCTCCTATGCCAACATTATGCTGTGATATTCTTCAAAAATCTTTCTTTTCAAAATTATCTTTACAAGAGTTGGCGGATATTTATCAGTATTCTGCGGAGGCTTTAAATGATGCGAAAGAAGTGATGTTACAAAAGATTTGTGCAATCGCTTGCCTCAAAGAATTTGCTCAGAAATTCTGGGATCACTCTATTCAGGAAGCAGTATTGCAACCAATACAATTTGATGAACTGAGAATCGGAGACCTTGACACTACAGAATTAATTACCAAGGTTAATGATAGTATGAATTTGACATTCCCATTGATTCATTCATTCAAAATTTATTTTCTGAGAGTTTTACGACACCGGGGAATGTCCATGAGTGAGGTTCGCCGTTTTTGTGATGCGCAGCAACAAAATTTACCATGGCTTCAGGAATTACCTTGGAATAAAATTAAAGAAATTCAATTGCCTTTTAACCCGTACTGGGCACTTGAGCAGTATATCGAAATTGAAAAAAGCTTCACGACTCTTTACGGAATGGACAACAAAGGATCTTTCAATTCAATATTTGCATCTTTGAAGAAGAAGGAAGCGTCTCAAGTGTCTTTTTCGTCGATAGCCTTGATGGGATTGATATTTAGTCGACTTCATGTAGTCCGAGCTTCACGTGAATGGGACACGGCCGAAAAACGGTCAGCGGAATTTTTGCGTCAAAAAATTGATCAGAGTGCACTATCAGATATTTATAAACAAATAATTACAAAACTCGTAAAAAATGAACACGAATTGCTTCACCTCAGTCCAACCACAACAAACTCGGAATTGCTTTTAAAATCTGTAATTTGCCATGTTATAGCTTTGCACGCGTCGTCATCGGCCGGCACCTCTCCGCTTGCATATATGTTTCACAATTTAGATAAATGCTCGAAAATGTTTATTCCTACTTGCTCCTCGGATGTCGAATCGGTGATAATTAACGCTGTGATTCAGAGCGGTCAGGTAACAAGGTAAAGTATTGTCTGCTTGTTCTTAAGTGGATTCTATTTGCGCTTTGACTGATGATAATTTACGTACGTATTGCACTGTAATGCTTAAAGATATTCTTGTTCATGCGGATTCAAATACGTAATCGCAAATTGCGGGATGGCAAATGGACGCGGCAAATGCCCGGAATGTAAAGCCACGATTGGAGGAGAAAACCACGTGATTTCTAGAGGTTCGTAAAGTTTTTTATCGATGACTTTCCACTACAGTATTCCGATTTGGTTGATATAATATTTATAAGATTAAAAAAATTTTCTTTTCCTTTACAAAGGACAAATAAAACTCGATGCGAATCCAATTAATCGAGCTTTAGCCGCCAGGGATCAACCTGGATATATTAGCGAAACAAATAATAATGGTCTAAATAATTGTTTGCGATCTTTAAATCCCGCTTCATACCGAATTTTGCATCTATTTATTCATGCCATTATCGGGGCTTGTGGGACATCGCCGGTTACTACAAATTTCTTAAAACATGACAATGAGACCGACGTGTCAGAATATTGCATGGCGCATATCAAAAGTGATTGGTTTGTGTTGCAGAGAATTTTTAATATCTCTGATGAAGACCTGGCATTGCTGTTACATTCTATTCTTTGTATGATGACTGAAGTTCCACCTATGAGTTCGACGTTGAATAGTAGTGCGGAACGAGAAGAGTGGGAAAAAAATTTTTCATCAAGTTATGTGGAACCCTCTACAAAGAATAGCACAGAGACGGCCAAAAATTTCTTGATGGAAATAACCAAAGCAGCAGCAGATTCTCAAGAAAGTGTCGACATCGTAGAAGGAGAAGTCAACCAAATACTAAAAATGGTAGGACGTGATGATCATTATTATATCATATTTTCATAATTATATTAATCAACATTTGTTAACTTCCCTAGGATAAGCAATACAATGTGCGACATTTGCCGAAGTTGTGGAGAATGATTGATGACGTTGGCTTTGACAGTTTTCGGGCCTTTTATTCAGGAGACCTGACAAATAATGTTGAAAACTACCCGCTCCTCTCGGTATTCTTTAAATATGAACAACAATTACCACATGTTCGACATTTGATTCCGATAATCAAATTTTTAAGAATTCTAAAATCAAAACTCGAGTACAAATTAAATCGATCTGAAGCTCAAGAACTTACTTTTCAAGGTTTTATTGAATCGGTAGATGAAGAGTCGACGGAAGCTAGCAATAATTTGAAACTGGCGTTTGATGATTTTGCACATGCTTGGAATTCGGTGATCGATCTTGTTCAGAATTATCAATGTCATGAACTTCCATCGAAACCTCGAATTTCGATTGAATCTCCTGTGGCATTCGGATTGATCGAGCCAAAAGATGCCGGTGTTTATATTTGCGCAATTCTTGAGCACTTGATAGGCATACAAAATAACTTCTTACAAGAGGTATCGGCCATAAATCCAGGAAAATTTGCATCCCTTGTGTTTCTTAAAGACATGTCATTTTATGGTAATGACACCGGTTCGGCCTCTTCGTCAAAAACAATTCAAACAAGCCAATATTGCATTCACGCGATGCGAGTTGAACAGATACAACCTAACAATATTATTAGTTTTCAATGGGACGATGATATCCTTCAATATAGCCAGAGAAATCTGGAAGCTGGCAGAGGATTGGATGTTAAATTTAACTTGCAGAAAATTGAGTCTGATCTTGCACATTTTCTGGTCTTTGAAAAAGTTCATATCGATACAGTTAACGATTCTCAATTATACATGGAGCCATTTGCATATCACATGGAATTGTTCCAAGGAAGCATAAGAATTCTAGGAGAAATCAAAGAAATGATTCCACAACAAAAAATTTCTGCCGAGAAAATAGATCTCATACTTGGATCTGCCATATCCTTGACAGTTAATTCGTCAGGTTATCAGTATCTGACATTTGATAATGCATCGGAATTGCTTTCATCCCTGGAAATTTTACTTTGTTTTGTCAAAAAGACATCAATAGGGGATGGTGAAATTTCCATCAATGAATATGTCAGCCAGTGGATGAAGCTTTCCAGCCTGCTAGATAACGAATCATTTAGTAACCTATTAAATGCAGGATTAAAATTAAAACACCTGGTGGCATTATATGAGCTGGCGGAGGAGCAAGTAGCGAATGGTGTGATCAAATATATAAACGATAAATATAAGGAGCCTTTAACATCGGAGCTGGAACAAGAGATCACGTTGGCATTAGATTTTCAATTTGTACGTCAAGAGGAAAATGAAGATCCTTTGTCTCAGAATAATAGCAACGAACAAAAAAGAATTCCAGCAGAATATTTTGTGTCAGCATTAAAAAGATTTATGCTTAGATTTCTCAATGATTATTCTGGCAAGGAGACAGAACCATTATCAATTTACTTTACAGATATGACCTTGAATTTATGGTCTCCAGATGTTCAGGAAGAAACAGTAGATAATTTCTTCCCAACTAGTTTGCTAGTGGCGCATATATATGAAGCATACACGTTTGTAAATGATAAACTTGAGGTAAGAATTTTATTTGCAAGCAATAGACTGCCTTGGATCGCGTGTTTTACTAAAATTTTCCATTTCAAAATAGTTGATAATTAAGCAAACACCGATAGTTACAAAACCTAAGGCAATTGCGGCTCCAAAGGTGACAAAAATTGTGACTGCTGGAAAGAAACTTCCAAGTAATAAAGGAAAATCTGTCACCTCTCCCACAACCAAGAAACCTTTGATAAAATCTACATTATCAACTGGTGCTAAAAATAGGACGGTCGGTGAATCAAGCAAAAGTGCAAGTTCGCCTACTGCGGTTAGAAGTCCCATGTCGCCATCTTCACCAACGCTGAGAAGAAAGTTTAATGAAAAATAATTGGCAAATTGTAAAAATATTATGACAATAGAGGGTAAAAGTTTGCATATACTAGCATTTTTTGTGTATATTAGATAATTTCACTTTGAAATATTGTAAAATATTATTGTTACTGTTATCTTTAATCAAGAAATAAATACATAAAGATGAAAATGATGATCAACCAAAATGCCATGATTTTTTTGTATGTATGGGCGTAGTCGAATAATGAGAAACGCGAGCTTATGTTTTTTTTGATGGCGTGATGCGTATTAAACTTGGTAATAGACTATCTTTAAAGTTACAAAAATTATCTTAGATTAAGAATAAAGAAATATTATAAGTTGACGAAGAATTTTATTATTGTCATTGGTATAAAGGAATTTTTGCAAAGTATCAAAATGAATTAAAATATGATACAGTAATACTTTTATGCAATAGTTCATTTGATTTTTACGTTTTCAAATACGTACTGTGCATAAAGTATATGCGATTTTGATTTTTTTATCAATTCGCGATTATTGACTTTAAGGTATCCGACATTATTAAATATATCATTCTCTACACGCTAACACGATGGATTTATCTGCAGAGACACGAAATATGAACCATTGGATTCCATAACAGAGAAATACATAGGCATTTACATCAAATAATACTCACAATTATATTTATAATAAATTCATAGGCATAGTCGTATATACAAATTTTAATTTATTCATTTTTTTAGATGTAGTGTATTCGATCTAACAGACATTCAAAGTTCCACAGATTACAATAGAAAAGTGTTAAATTAGTCGAGCGCTTTTAGTCTATCTCCAAAATTCTTTCACGTGCCACTATCTTAATGTATTGTTTGTTGTTGTATGCATTAAATAATATGATTCGTAACTACAATGGACTGTAGTTCGATGAGCTTATATGTATGGGCTTTTCTGTTAAATCAAAGCAGAAAAAGGGCGACAATATAAAGAAATTTCGAGTTGAAAAACAAATGCAAAGATCGTAAAATCTTGATACTGGGAAGAAAGTTACGGTGGCGTAAAAGAAAATGGTCCACATTTTAGCTACCATAGGTATCAAAACATGTGTTAATATAGACATGTTTACCAAATAATAATTTATGCATTATGGAATGATTCACCATTATTCTCTGCTCGAACTTCCCACGCGAGTTACAAGAATCTGGGAATGATTTGCTTTGATGGTTCGAAGCGCTCGAAGAATGTCACTGGCATAACTATCCCCTGGACTAACTTTCTCCCACTGAGCTAAGGCTTGATCAAATTTTTGTCGATCAAAATATCCTTCTGCGTTTTGGGCTGCTTCTAAGAAATCGAGTGCCTTCGAAAATCCATGGACACTATCTTCTTCATTTTGTACGGTCTCTTCATGTTTCTCTTGTTGATCCTCCCTATTTGGAGTTTCTAGATTATTACTCGCATTGACTTGGCTAATATTATCTTGACACCCGTATCCATCTTTCAATTCAATGTTACCACTTTCATTCACAAGATCATTAGATTTTGTGCGAGACGACATGCATGGATCTTTTTGTGCAATTTTTTCTTCCCGACCTTCATCTTGTTCAACCCCTTTCCCTTTGTCCAGAGCTATGGTGTCATTACATTCTTCCGCCTTATCAATATTATCTTGGGATTTGTTTATCTCGGATGCCTCGTCAGGATTAAGAACGCTCATTTCATCTCCATCAGAATCTCTTATTTCAGCCTTAATCTGATGGCACAAAAGTTTTTCGAAATCTTGCAATAAATTCTTAAATTCATAGTACGGATCCGATCCAGCAATGTCGTCTTGGGCTGATGTTTCTTTCTGTTCGGTTTCTTCTCCTTTCTCGCGCTTATCGACGCCTTTTCCTTTATTTCGAACTGCTGTTTCGTGGTTTGCGCTAGTTTCATTTGAATTATCTTGCGATTTGTCGCCACTTTCCCAATCAGAAGTACTGATCAGGCTATCTAAACTGTCGCTATCACTGATCTCCTCGTCGTGGTGTGTTGAATCGATTTTACTTTGGTAAGATACAAGTTTTTTAAGCTCAAGTGATAATTTCATGAGACTGTCGCATGAATCTAATTCATTCATATCATCTTTGAACGAAGTGACCTCTCGAAGTTTTCGCAGGGTCGATTGTGGTATCTGTGGGTCTGGTTTGCAAAGATCTATCCACTCGACCTTTTTTTCTCCGCAAATATCTTGAACATATGAACTGTAGATCTTCCCGTAAAGTTTTATTCCTTTGGACAGACTTTTTGACATGTAAACATCTTTTGGTTCGACTACTAACACCTTCTTTAAGTCGATTAACGCTTCGTCGAGTTTATTAATAGAAACATATATGGACGCACGTTCAACAAGTGGGATCATGGTTTCGTCGTCCTGTAAGATTGATATTGCTTCATCGAGGTTACCTATCGCTTTATCATGCTCTCCGAGTTTATTATAAATGAGCCCCCAGTAGAGGCAGCTTCTTCTCCTTCCCTCTCTTGTCGATGACGTCATTCCACGTTCAGGGTGCAGATTCTCGGCTGTATCCAGATCTTTCAAAGCCAACGAATAACAGCCCATTTTGTACCACAAGTACGCTCTATTCCGGTATATATAACTATTTTCTGAATCAATTTCGATGGCAACGTTAAGATCTTCCAAAGCATCCGTAAAGTTCCCAAGTCGAGTGTACAACTGTCCACGACATGCTAATGCATTCGTATTTTTTGGATCGACTTCCAATACCCTTCGGAAGTCTTTAAATGCATCCTCTTCGCGACCTTCCAAAAGGTGATATATGAACCCTCGCATCACCAGCATTTCCGCGGTGTCCATGTCATCGTTTTCAAAGTTTTCATTGAGATAGTTAAGGTAAATGTTAAGGTAAGAAAGTACATCCTTATAGCGGTATAGATATATGCGAGCCCATAGACAGCGATACATATTTTCCATATTGTTGCGATCAATTATGTGAGCTACATTCGCATAATCTAAGGCATCCTCATCTCGACCCATGTCATCCAGAATCATGCTTCGAAAACGGTACGAGTATCCCTCCACTGGATTGAGGCTTATGGCGCGGTCGGAATCTTTGATGGCCTGATCGAATACACCCATTCCCGAATTTGTTAGCGCTCGAAGGTTATATGCATACACATTTCGACGGTCGAATATTATAACTTTATTGAAATCGGAAAGCGCTGCACGGTACTGGTATGTTCTATAGTGAACTCGACCTCGTAATATTAAACCTTCTACATTCTTATCATCCCATTGCAAAAGTTTGTCCAAATCTTGTTTAGCCAATTGATACTTGTATTGATCAAAGTATAATTTACTGCGCTTCATCAAGGTATCAATGATAATAGCTTTGTTTTCTGGTTGATAGAATCGAGAATTCTTAAAACGAATCATCGCAATGAAAGCCGGTAATGATGGCCTTAGTTGGGACGCAAATTCTAATATGGTGTCCATGTCACGTGAAGCGTTCTCATACTGCCGTAACTTGATGTATATGGTACTGCGCATTGATAAGAATTGAAGATTTTTCGGATCAAGTTCTAGAGCGCGAGATATGTGAGGAAGTGCCATTTCAGCAACGCCCATTTGAATATATACGCTGGCAAGTAGATTCCAAGCCTTTGGTTTCCAGGGTTTTAAATGTGACGCAATATTCAGATCGGTAATCGATTGGTAGAGATCCCCTAATTGTTGTACCACCCATGCTCGTTTGCAACGAATACTATAGCTATCTGGCCAGATGTCGAGAACCAAATTCAACCAATAGACTGCCAACACAAAATTCTCATTTTTTAAAGCGGCCTCGGCTTGTCTATAAGCTGAATAACGTTTCTTAATTATCCCAAGATTTTTTATTCGAATGCGTGAATTTTTCCGACCATTAAGAATGACGGCGGGTGAAACGTGCGTCGATGTTATCTCTTGGTTTGATATACTGCTTGCAAACTGGAACATTCCACGATGCAGATGAGATGGTGGTGCATTATCGACCTCCTCCCACAAAAACTCGGCACGACAAATGCAACATGAAAATAATTTGCTCTTGCTTTTGCATTCCTTGGTCCAACCCTTGATACCTTCTTCGCTAATGCAATGTCCGCATGGTAATTTTTTGAAATTCTCACCAAGGTCTTGAGTGATTGGGCAAGTTAGTTCATCAGCGATAATGTCAAAATGAGTGGTATCTCTTACATAATTCTTGTCAGTATGTAGAATGAGGGGGTTGAGGAGTCTATTTACTTCCAACTGTAGCTTCGCGTGACATCTTGCGGGACATGCTTCAATAATCTTCCTTCGGTACAGTTGGAATCGTCGCATAACTATACCAAAGAGTCGTTGATATTTTTCCTTCTTGTGCGCCCCACAACTATCCAGACCATTTAAGAATTCCATAAAATGAATTTCACACTCCGAAAAAAGCATCGGATGTTTTGCGAGAAGTGTGATCAAAAGTTCAATTGCCTTAGAACGAATATAAGCTCCGTGTCCACGTTGCAATGACTGCAAAGCTAAATAATAAATGAAAATCAAAGTTTTGTTCGATTGCGTCCAAGTGGCTAACTCTTGTGCAATATCGAGAAGCCCTAACCAGAATAATTTCGCATGCGCTGACGGTTTGCTGTCAAGGATCGAATTGGAACTTTGTTTAATCTCGTCATCAACTTGTTGCGAACCAGAAACACAATTTTTGGTTGACCATTCTATTGATGCGTGCATCCAGAGTTCTTCGAGCAGTTCCTTTTCTTGAAATTCGATGTTTGTATTATCTAGAGACAGCCGGAATAAATTACACTTTTTTTCTATCAATTGTTTCCATTTTGAGTACCAAGTGCACTTCGAATATTCAAATTCTTCTGACACTTGTTCAGTCGAGATGATTTCGTCATGACTTGCTGCCGGTGAAATTTCTTCAGTCGTAATATTACTTATGGACTGCGTAAATGCATCTTGTATCTGAAATGATTTTTCAGAGGTTGCTTCCTTATCTTTATCGTTATCGTTGATTGTGTCACGAAATACGATTAATAGAAAGTCGATGTTATGATTTCGTAAAAGCTTTTCCTCCTTGTGTTTAACCAATAAACTAGGTGGCGATTGTAAACAGGCTTTCTTCGTTATTTCCGAATGAAACTCTACAAATTCCATCAGTTTTTCAAAAATCTCCTTACGAAATTCGCGAGTGACGTTATTTGTGTCGTACACACGGGCTGCTGCTAATAGTATACGCAGATTTAATTCCATTATAATAGTTGCATCTTCGACACGGTCTTTGAATTGTGATGGGTCGCAAAAGATCACTAAAATTTTATGTAAAATTACGGGAGAAAATGAATTTGATGGATCTTCTAACAGCAACCTCAGTGCAACGTAATCTTTCAGTGACCTTTCGTCCCGAATACTCTTTATGAATTCATCTATTTGCACTCTTCCCGTTCCATGGTAATCCTGAGAGATGGTTGAATCTCTGCCAGCCTGTGATGAAATTGCACCTTGGGTAAAGATGCTGTTGATGAGTTCCTGTATAAGCTGACTGACATCAATTAAACCTTGATTTTGCTCACAATCACCAGAATAAGACGAACTACTAGAACCTTCCCCCACCTCCCCCAATTTTGATGTAGACAATTTTTTATTGATATAAGGATTTGACATTGTAAAGTATTAATTTTTCACCTCACGGAATTTATCCGATTTTAATTTCTGGCGGAGAATACCACTGCAAGAATGGAAGTGAGCATTAATCGAATAAGCAAACCAACAAAATCCTGTGCATGTCATTACGCCCGCCGATCAGTAAACACTAACAGTCAATCAAATGGAAGGTAACCTACACATGCCTTTCCATGTGTTACCTACGCACATTCTCTCCATGCTAGCGGTTCTATAAGGACCGACCTGTCGGTTCTGCAGGAAACAATAAAAAAGATGCTCGACCATATTTGATAAATTGAAAAATGAATGGGGATAACTTTAAATAAACTTTATTGCACATTCATTCGAGATGTTACAGAAGAGAATATCAATATGTATGTGGAGGGGGTTATAATTTTCTGTTGTAAACTCATTTTTTCGTACTCAATGTTTATAAGGAACTACCACATTATATTCCTTCCAGGCTCCAGGATTGTCTTTTGGAATCACAATAAACTTCACCTCTCTTTGACTGCCCTTTTTCTTTCCAGGAATAACGATCAAAGTATATACTTTAGGATTATCCTTCTTGTCCTTGGGAAACACGAAAACCTTGTATACTATGTGAAATGCTTTTCCTTTGGGTAACATAAGAACTTTGACCTTCTTGTGGATATCATCACGGATTCCAAAGAGGTCGGAAGTAGAAACGAGTTGTTCGATGTTGTATCGTAGGAATGGGTTGTTTACAAGTCCGCTTTCATCATATGCAGTTTCGGTGTCGCCCGCAGTTTCCGACGATTCAACGAATTCTACGGTAGTCCCTTCGGTAGCCGATGATGTAGCGTTTAGAGCTTTGTTGGTCGATGGTGCACCATTGTATATAGCTTCGTTGATAGCTGGCACAGTGTTGCTCAAGGTCTCGTTGCTAGATGGAGCGGTACTGTTCAAAACTTCGTTAGTTGCTGGCGCGGTGTTTTCTAAAGCCTCGTTGGAAGATGGAGCGGTACTGTTTGAAATCTCATTTGTTGTTGGTGCAGCGTAGTGGTTTAAAGCCTCGTTGGTGGATCGAGTGGTACTGTTTAAAACATTATTAGCTGCAGGTGCAATTTTGTCGTTGGTTGAAGGAGCAGTACTGTTCAAAACTTTGTTAGTTGTTGGTGCAGTATTGTCTAAAGCTTCAGTGTTGGCTTGTGTAGTGCTATCCAAGGCCTCGTCTTTGGGTGTGTTTGCATCGTTAACCGAAAGAGAACTTTCGTGAGTAATTGGAGATTCGTAGAGATTGTTTAATGAGAAATCACTATTGTCTGTGGCTAAAGGGATAGAGAAGACGAGTGAAACAAGAGTAAAAATTAATAGGGCGAAATAAAGCCGTGACATTGTTTCTTTAATCCTATTGTATGATGATTGTAAACAAAAAGAATAGATGTTTTTTTCTTTAAACGCGAACTGACATTATGTTCGAATAGCCTCGCCGTTATTTTATATTTCTTCAAGTTCGTAAAAGTGACTCTTCGTTATCAATACTTTATCGATTTGTAATAACTGATAAACAAAGAAAAAAATTGATCCCCATTTTATAGACTACTTGATCAATTATGCCACGCGAAGACATACGATATATGTGATAAATGCATGTCTAAAAATTCAATAACCGATCAATCATACTCAGCAAACTTAATTAAAATTTTACGTCAAAGATAAATTATTTTATTTTTATACAACGAAATCCGTCAGCATTCGTTAAATTTTCAAGTCTTATTCAACCTTTTATTGAAATTTTTATTAACATCCACGTTAATTACAGTATATTATCCAAAATCTTTGTCATATGCAGAAGCCGTTTTAATGCTTTAGTTTGATTCATCCTTTTTTAAAAAATCATACGCTACTCTGTCAACAGGAAAAACTTTTCAAAATTTTTTTCAAATGTCATTATTTTCTCATAATTATCTTCTTGGCCTATTTCATTAAAGATTTCACCGTGGTCACCGATCAAACATATCTTTCCGAGTTCATTATACAGAAGATCATTTATCAGCGGATGTAGTAGAATTTTAGATCTTGTAAAATCTTTTAATATCCGTTGAATTTCTAATAACATAAAAAGATTTAACTTAAGTAAAAGTGAAACCATGACATTGTGAAATTGTTATATTGGACATACCATTATTGAAATTTGCTTTGTCGTATACTAGTTCGCTCATTACTAAAACCGTGGCAATTAATCGATATATAACAATAAATACCCTGGGGCGTGAAATAAATCCCAATGGACCATCATTCGTTTCCTATTATGGTGCAAAAAAACATAATTATGGTGCGATATCTCAAAAACAAAAAAAAAACGAACGTCGAATAGTATCGAAGTAATATCAAACTTTTAATTCATCAGATTTTAATAACTCGCAAACTCTGCGCAATTGTTCGACGGCAAAACGCGGAATATCATTTCTCAAAGGATCGGGAAATTGCACAATTTTAACTTCCTTTTTCAATGTTTCTATTAAGCTTCTGGAAGCTAATTGAACGTCCACTAAATCTTCTTTAAAGATATTTGGATTTTCAATTGCGAATAGGACACGTGATCGATTCATTTCGGCCCGGAAAACCTCCTCTTTGTTGTGCGTGCAATAAAATAATCGATTAAATTTAAATCAAATATATGTGTAAACACTTTAAAGATATTTACCTGGCTTTTCATTTCCGGAAAGTATCTGAAGTAAGGCTGCATACAAGTGTAGCGACTTGGAAAATTGATTTGACACTTGCTCATAACAGAGCTCACGTGCACGATCGGGATCCACGGGAAACTAAAGTTTTATAAGTAAAGAGCCCTTTAGTCTTTTACTCCTTAGAAAAATCAAAAAATCTGTGGCAAACCTTAAATCTGCCTGCTTTTGCCACAACCAATGAGGCAGCTTTGCGTAGGTCAACATCGTCGTCCTAAATTCAGGAAACCAATACATTATTTCAACAAATCAAATAAAAACATGGAGATTTTTTAGAAAAAAAAAAAGATACCTGAGCAAGGCGTGCAATGATCATGTACAGTGCGATGACCTGCTGGACATCATTACTGTTTACAAATCTATCTTCTCTAAATAGATGACGACTAAACATTTGTAAAGATTTTGTTGTTGCTTCACGCAATGTGAGAGCCTATTTCAGCGAACAATTAATATAAATGCAAAATATAATTAAGAAAAATATAATTATGCATCGTAAATACGTACAATTTCAGGCTTGGTATTTCTTTCCACGCGTTCGGTCCATTGTTTTAAACACAAAGATTTGAACTCTTGATCGGAAGACTTAGCATCCCAGATCTACGATTACGTCAGATATATACTCTTCATGTTACAATTTATTTTTCTAGAATTGTTTATGAAACAAAATGACAAATCTTACTTGTGATAACAAAGAACCCAATAATGGAAATACGGCTTCAACTATTGACACGTTTTTGGATTGTTCTACATGTTCGAAAAGTTTTTTCCAGAAATTTCGCAGTCCGGAATCTAAAGGGAAGGACAGACCCTTTGGATTTATTAATACGAGTAATTCCACGACCAGGCGGAAACAATTAAGGTTTGGTTCCCCGTCATCTATCATGGAAATCAGTTTTGACTGAATAGTCGAATAATTTCTGCCAACATTATTCATGGAGAATTTGTTAAAAATAGCATCTTTGAAATATTATAAATGATCATAAGAGCAACAACCTATTTTCTATCGGTAAATTTAAAATAAAAACAAAAACCTGAGGTTTGTATCCAGAACAGAGTCATCTAGGAAATATTCGGTGAGTAATTCTAGAGCGACAAGCCTCACTTCATACTCAGGATGACTCAATATTTCCACCAATTTATTGTTAAACTCGGACGTGTCACCTCCTCGAAGAGACCTAATTATTATTTTTGCCATCTGTTGATGAACTAGATAAGATCCGATTCTATAATCTTTTGATTGTTGATTATCAAAGTTTTTATAGGTTTTATTCAAAAGTTCCGCTAAAGAAAAATCAAATATGGTCTGTCTGATTTCCGCATAATTTTCCTCCATGAGAT